GAGTCAAGTGTCCTCATTTTCTTCTTTTTAGGAACTGAATCCATATTTGCACTTCTTAACGAATTTTTTTATTATTTTAACTTAAAAATTGGTTAATTTGTAAATTGTAGGGCAACAACGCTAACAACAGTCAACACTCAACAATACGTGGACTTCGAAAACACAATATTTCGTTAATTGTTTGATAATGATTTATATATAGTAATTGCACATTTCTACCCATGATAGCTGAACACATTACCCAGAATACGATAAATGTAATAATAATAATGTCTGTCAAAAGGTTTCTATTTCCGTCGACGACAGGCTGCTTTTATATGACTTGTTAGATACAAGTATTGTCGCATAGTCTCTAAATACCTAAGACCAGCTTTATGTAAAAAAACTTCTAATTTTGTAACAGACACAAAAAATCTCAGTGGGGGCAATGGCCCTCACTGGCCTCCCTGGTATCTACTTATAATTGTTTTAATTCCTACTGAAACATGTCAGTATTATTGCTATCATAATGGGAATAAAAATAATATTAAAAATGACTATTTTAAGAGACTGAATGTGTGAAATGTAATTGAAAAACATTTTTTAAATAATATGAAAATAAAATAAAAATCCATATTCACTGATTTGTTACCTACATGGTTAAATAGTATTATGTATTAATATCTATATTTTTGAACTCCTTTACTTCATAATTCCCAATTCAAGCACTGTACACAAAAATGCATCAAAGTGAATTGTATTTTATATTATAATATTATATTGAATTACACTAAAGTATTATTTATATTAATACATTTTTTAATAAAATAAATTTGATAATTGATTTGGTTGTAATAATTATAATAACAATAAGGCAAAAAGAAAAAATAATATGAAGTATGAATAAAAAAAAATAATAGTTTCTGTTCTAATTATAAGCCACAAAATGTTTTTATTTAGTTTTGTTGTTATTTACATTAAAACGGAAAACAAATTTTTGGAATTGAAAATTGTTAACCTATAATTAAAACCTAGTTTATATAAATTAAATAATCAACTAGGTAAAAACATTAAATTAGATACTATTAATTTATTTTAGTAGTAGGCAAATTCTTTTCATTTACTAAGTATTTTTATGGTGGCATGACAGTATCAGATACATAACAAAAATAATATAATATTTTATTCAGAGTACGATTTATGTTAATTTGTTATAAGAGATAGGTAGTGTCATTTAATGTTAATAAAACACATTTTGATAGTAAAGTATTTATATTAGAAATGAAGGCCCCAGTGCAGCAACCAGGTACATCTATTTTTCAAAATTCTTGAGGAAACATAAAAAACTATATATACAATTGATAAATATAAGCCAACAATTAAAAACTTAGTGTTATTCTTTTTATAAAAATAAGATGCATAAATTAAACATATTTCCTGTGGTTTAAAACTTTATATTCATGATAATATTTATAAAAACTAAAAACTATGATAATTTTATTTTTGATGGTTGCAATAACCATTTTTGTCCAATTTTGTTTTGACACATAACTGGTTGTTGCAAGAAAATATTTTATTGTGATCAATAAGTTCTCTATTATACATAGGTACTGTATTACGAAATAATAATCATATTATTTTTGATAGTTGATTGATTTTTTTGATTTGAAAAAATGTCAAGTTATTTTTTAGCTAAATAGTAGAAATTATGTCATGGTAATAATATAGAGCACCTATTAGGTTATTAAACACACCATCCCTCAATGCACCAACAAAATAAGAGTACACACATGTCAATAATGAATTATCACTCATTTTTGTTAAGGAAAATTGAAAAAGAAAATATGATCATGAGGCATAACTACCATAACCTTCACAAATATAAAATTGAATGATAATTTAAATTTAAATGAGTAAAAACAACTAAGATAAGTACTTATTTGATCATAAGATGGTGGTAAATACAGAACATTTCTGAGCCTCACCCAAAAGAAAATGTTTTACATTCCTTCTACTGGTCACTGCTAAAATACTAGAACTAGTTATCAAGATAATGACAATATTTACAAATAGTATAAATCAAACAAATAGGTACTTACATACAATAATTATAGATGTGACGTGAAAGAAATCACTGAAACGTGCACGGAACGCTGCATATCGGAAATTAATAAAAGAAACATTGTCGCAGTTGTCAAGTAATAAAAACGTATTAATAAATTATTATACTACTTACTCGTTTTGAACACGACGGGAATCAAATGAAAACAGAATGAGGAGTGCGCGGTCGAAAATTCATTGGCCATTAATGTTCAACACATAATATTATTTAGTTGAAACCACTAATTAACTATTAAGATATAGTTATATTGCTATTATTTGTGAATGGAACCCTCGCTAGTCGCTACATCTCGTCACTGCGTAGTGCCGAGTGCGTGATTGTTGTATTAACTCGAGAGTTTTTTCTTCGTCACGCCGCTCACCTGTATTGTTCTCAGAAAAAACGAAAGCCAACTGCCGACCAATCCGGCGTTAGCCCATAATTATTATACTCAATTATATGATATGTTATCAATGGTAATAGCACAGTTTGTTGCCACGTAATATGTAGTTCCGCCTGCAATATCTACTGTGCAGGGTTCCAAAGTAGTTGATAATTATTTTTATGGTATTTACTCACTATGTAAGACAAAAGCAGAAGTGTTTGTTTAAACTTTAACCGTACACCTCGATAGTTTTTAAATAATAACAATCTATGACAAATTGACAATTAATACTGAAAAACCTAATAATTATTACTATTTATATTTCAATTGTTGACTCACAATTTGATAACGATTAGAAATTAGAAATTGATTAACTAGTGTCAAAGAAAGATTGAATAAAAAAGAACATTAAACTAAAATACCTATATTATGTTATATATTATGAAATACTTTAAGTCAGTATATTTATAATTTAAAAATATACCTACCAAAGTTCAAGGCGAATTTCATTCAAAGATTGTTCACTTTGTTCAAGATAATATTTGAAGACCTTAATGTTAGGTCATTATTATTATTTATTATTGTTGTAGGTAATTGAGACTAGTGTGTCCTCATAATAGATTTTAATGTATAATATTACTCATTGTCAAAAAAATCATAATGATCAATATATAAATGTATAGGTCGCTCCCCCCCTTTAAAACTGTCTAGAGACTCCCCTGCACCTGGATAGGTAATTAAATTCAATAAGATTCTCTCTCTGAACTACCTACATGGACTCGAGTTCAGTAGATATTATAGAGTTAACTGTAAACAATTTATAAACTATAAATTATAATATATTCATGAACTTCGTGTTTCATATAGTCCAGATTAAATCAGATTAATATTCATAAATAATTAATTGTACGACCTATGTATATTATTATT